GACGGGCTGGTCCTGCTCCACAGGATAATATACCTACACGAATATAAATAATGTTCCAGTGGATCTTTGCTTGAACGGAAGTTCTTAGATTTTGTAAATTTGTAACCATGCTATTTTTATTGTTAAACTTGATAAATTTGTAAATGTGAGTGCCCTGTAACCTATTAAAATTAGTTAGACTAGCAGAATGTCGGTCCATATGTCAGCTTGGAGTTGTCATGCTCACTCAAAGGTCACATTGGCGGTGGCACGGTCACTGGATCGCTCGATTCACTATATTATGGTTGAGTTGGGCGATGCTGGTGTACGTGTCATGCTCGTGAACGGGCGCCGTCAATTGGGACTGGTCAGCTCCGGACTGTCTATTGTCCTTAAGGTTATTTTCTTTTTATGTTTCTCTGTATACACGCGTTACACTGTTCTCACATATTCAAACTAACTAAATAATGTATCAAAGAATGTTTATGTGACACTGATTTTAAAAGAGTAACCATGGAGTTTCTTGCTCGTTCTTCTCCATCGGAATCTACACTTTGGAACGAGCGAATAGCTTCACTAAAAGGACTGACCGACAGACTGACACTTTGTATCTTTAAAGTTGTGTTGACGTTCAAAAGTGCCTGTATGGGTCTAATTGAAATAAATAATTTTGACTTTGACTTTGACTTTATTTATAAGGATTCCAAGTTTCGTCACGATTTTTCCTTCGCAGGGATGTCCAATTAGTCTAAGAAACCACATGCATTTTGAAAAAAATTCATTGATTCTTGCCAGGTTGAATTCGTTCGCTCAGACATAATATACAGACATAAATTAATCTCTGAGCTTAAGAGAGTATAAGTCAAAGACGTTAAACACACTTTTTTTTAAAACTTATTTTTCGATAATAATTCTCTGTTTCACGATATCAATTACACAACTAAAGATCAACAAATAAGTTTTAATTAAAATATCCTTATTCTACTATTTTACTACTAAACCTACTTAAAAACATTTATAAATGAGTCATCACCATAAAATCGGACCTAATCTCAATAACTCAGCACTAACAACCAGATATATTAGATTAAGAGCGGTAAATTAAAAAAAAATACGAGTATTTAACCAAACTATTAACACTCGGACACGTGTAACAAAGATTTGAGTATTAATGCTAGAAGTTCACGGATAAACTACTGCCGTCTGGGTTGATTTACGCTTTCCGAGGCCAGTTTGTGGATGAGAGACAATCTCTATGAATGTCTGTACATATATGTAGGTATAGAATTCATTCTCACGTGGGATTCCACAATCACGTGAATTTTGTATGACTTTAGCACTATTTAATTATATAGTTTTAATTGGATATTTTTAAATTGATTGTTTCGTCTGACTAAGGCGACCGCTCACAAGATGTGTTGGATGCAGATTCGAGGAATACTCAACCTGTTTTTTGGAGAAACTGCCTAAAAACCTACGAGAACGGAATAAAGGTCGTATCGCCAAGATTCAGAGTCAAAAAATTATTCCTTATTATGTTGCTTTATTTTCCTATTCTGTTTTCGATTCATCGTTAAATTCGAAATATTGATTAGAAAAACAAAACATTGATATATACCAAACCACAGACACGCCCACATTTTTAGAGTCAGTAAAAAAATAAATATACAAAACTATTTTTAGGCAAATAACTATACAAATACCGTAGTTATAGTTAATAACAAATTTCGATTCTTAATATAGTATTAAAGAATCTGGTCATACACGTGCCAATAAAAATTGATTTACGTCAATATTATTATAATGTAATTAATAAACGTGTCCACGTTTTAAATAAATTCATAAATTGTCGATTGTCTAACTAAATAATCTGCAGGTAAGGTCGTTAACTTTTTACAATGGAAAAGCTAAAATAACAAATGACTATGGTAGTTAACTGTTTTTCGCAATTGTGCAATTATCGTTAGCATATTATTATTATTACATTGGGTCTTAGCTCTTATAGAATAGATAGAACAGAACATGCTTAAATCCTTTCATCATCATCATCATCATCACCATCTTCAGCCTATAAGAGCCCACTGCTGAGCAAAGCCCCATGAAAGATCACAATCCTTCTGATACCTTGTCGCTTTAGACTTGATGAAAACAAGGTCATTTTAATAAGTACAGCGTATTTACAAAGAACTTTACGCTACAATTTCACGCAAGTATTAAAGCAACCGTATATAAACCGTATATAATACACACCCACCTGACTTCCCATTCAATAAGATAAAGATAAAGGCTAAAAGATAATATTTTGCAAACTGACAAATAAGGCACCTATTACACAAATATTTTCTTGCACACGTAAGTAAAGATCATCCGGTCAAATTCTTAGATATTCCCCGTCGACTGTTAAAAATAAACTTAACAATATTGAAGGTTGATTTCTGACTACAGGCAGCGTACGGTTTAGGGTCAAATAGCATTCATTGTAACCGCGCAAAAACTTCTTGACTTTACAATTTAATTTGACACAATATCGTTGACAAACAATTTGTGCAATGCGTCAAAAGATTCCATTGACGATCGAATGTTATTCTTGATGACGAATTCCACGACTCATATGTGTGTAAAGACGCTTTGTTTTGAAGGGGTGGGGGGAAAATTTATGGCTTCTTGCGCTCTTGGTTGGACGAGACTTATTGACGTGACTACACGGTTGGTGCGGTGGCTGGTGGTGGTGTCGTCGGTTCGATTCCCGCACGAAACAACTCTTTGTGTGATCCCGCAAATTGTTGTTACGGGTCTGGATGTCATGTGAAATTATACGTTTGTAACCGCACCCACGATACAGGATAAAATCGTAGTGTGGTGCAACGTTTTTTTAAAAGAAAAAAGGTACTCTGTCCATTCTCCTGGCTAGAAATCGGCCCTAGTAGGCCTTATCTGTGATGGTCTAACCATAGTATGTCAGAAACATTTTGATTAAATATTTGCATCACTATCTAGTCATCTACTGTAATACCTAGGTGACTAGGTGAACGAAACACGCCTTCCTAACCTACTATGTTGTAAGCAAAGATATATTTACAAAGTAATATGTTGCGTATTAACATTCTAATTAGGTTCAAATTGATTGATTACTTTCTGATATCGTGCAAGAAGATAGGACCTGATTTGAGATAGACATCATTTATTAGAATGATGAATGAATTTATGATGATAAATATATTTGTGAATAAGTACCGTTATTCTGGACGCGCTTGATGAAATAACGAATTTATGTATTTTTGTATACAGGCTATAAAACAGCAATTTTACGCACAATATTATATGTAAAAAACTAGATGAAACCGGCATTTCCTATCTGGTTACCCTGCAAACTCAGAGAGTTAGGTTATTAACAATGTCGGGTTTTTAATATGTTAAACTGCGACCCTAAACTAGACGCCAAGCGTGGAGATTACCCGATGTAGTGCAGTGAATTACGAAGACGGCGAGCTATCTCTGAGAAAACTAAACTCCAAAACGAAGAGATACAGGTCAAATATCATATTGTACCGTAGCCCGGACAGAGCAGGAGAAGCAACAGCCTAGTTTTTAGTCAGTAAGAGTCTGATAATCCCTCTCTTTCCACAGAGCGAGAGAAAAAAAATGATGATATTCTCCACTCAAAATAAACCATGGAGATAATACCAGAATATACTATTTAGAGTCCGAAATAGTATAAAAAAGATTAAGGAAAATATCGGAAAAGTGCTTAAATAACAAAACCGATATTTTTCTTAAAATAACAATAATGAAGGAATGGAAAAACCAAATAACCTAATTGGTGACGATAAGTCTATTTTTTGCAAAACCGTGACGTTAGTTTTAATAACCACACAAACTTGCTATTTAATTAGAGCTATGTTTTATGAATATCTCACCATTTATGGCAAAGGCAAAGCTTTTTATGATATTTTTATAATACTACGAATAGACACTTATTTTTTTTTTGTACTTGTTTCTGGCTTAAGTGCTATGTTAGTTGAGAGGCTTAAAATTTATTTTTTTCGCGTCTTCTAAATTCAAATAAGTTAAAAAGCATAGCCGTGAAAGTGAGGTTTTCGAAGGCCTACTTCCCCACTTCCCCTATCTTCAATCCTCGATCCCCTATCCTTATACCCCTTTTTGTGAGGGGAAAATCATTAAATGACTTCTCTCGCCCAGGGCCGGGCGGGAGGGAGTGTCAGACTCTTACTGACTAAAAACCCCCCTGTTCCTTCTCCTGCTTCTGACGAGGTCGCGGGGCCTCATTGCGCCTACTCCGCAACCCCGGCTGATCCTTATACCCTCAATGTACGTCATACAATATACGTCACAAGAGGCCGTCGTAGAAACTCTTTTAATTTGGTCCTACGGTGTCCATGGACGGCGCTGATTGCTTACCATCAGGTAACCTTTGATATAAAAGAAAACTAACGGTAACAATAACTGCATACTACATAAAAAATATTTAAAATAACAATATATTAAAATACTGTGAGGTGAACATTAAAAATATTTTATGTCTCATTCAACGAATGACAAAAGAATATTATAGGTACAGTTATTAACGGAACGGTGTTTTTCAAATTGACAAATGGAATTTCTAGAAAACTGTTAAGTAGATAATTGTGAACGTCATAGTATAGTAGACGTTTTCATATTTTTTTTGTACGTTTGTACGTACGTATGTATGTGTCATGCGGTCTTTTGAGTATTTAATTTAGCAGCCATTCATAACAACGCCTTTTTTGTGAGTGGAAAATCATTAAAAGACTTCTTCCGGGAGGAGGGAGGAGGAGAAGGGAGTGTCAGACTCTAACTGACTAAAATCCACTTTCCTTCTCCTGCTCAAGGCCTTATAACATTATTGCGTTGGACCCGCAACCCCAACTCAACATCAGCTCTATTGGGTCCTATCTAATCTATTGATTACAATGTTATTATTATGTACTTTTCACATGTAACATGCGTTTTGTAATAAAACAATATTTCTTTTCCCACAGTACATGGACATTCGGGAAGGGTCATTCCTCTACAATATGTGGGCGAACCCAACTTATGAGATGTTCTCCGAGATGTGGGTGTTCAACTACACCAATGCGCAGGAGTTCCTCAGTGGAGCTGATAAGGTGCTCAAACTTAATGAAGTTGGACCATTTACCTTCCAGTAAGTACCTAATTATTATTTTTGTTTATAAAAACGGGCTCATATTTACACCATGCCACAACACTGTTTTATATTTATTCCGATTACGTATTCATCAATATTCTAAATAGTTTGAAGTGTGGGAGACCATTTTTCAACACGAAAAGGCCGACTCGTTCGGAGTGATACCACAACCTCACAGAAAACCAGCGTGGAACAGCTCTACCGTTGTATTTCGAAGTACAAGAGATCCAGCCCGGGAGGATCCAGACCCAGTCATTTATTTCAATTAGACCATTCTAAGCACTATAAGCATTAAATATAAAAGCTATAAAGTGTGAGTCACTCGGTCAGCTCTCTAGTGATGCTTTAGCTAGTTCCAAACTGTGGATTCCTATTGAGATGGACGAAAAACAAACTCCATGGTGATGTGCTCTTTTTAATCAGTTTAATAAACAAATAATTTATTACATTAGTGTCCTTTGATCTAATATGTACAGGCTTAAGATATTTTTGTCTGCCTTTTAAAATAGAATATACACGAAATTACACCGAATTGTAATGAATGACAAACGTCAAATCAATTTATTCGTATAATATTTTTTGACGTTACGTTAGACCAAATTGTTAAAAACATTAACCTACCAAATCCTTTTTGGTTTGATTTGTAAAAACTGCGTAAGTAAACATGTGATCTTCTTAAGGAAACATTAACCACCTTTTAACATATTACGTGGCTTCCTTGTTGGTTTAATTAATTAAGTAACATTAGTTAAATATTATTTTAAAACCAAGCGTTCGTTTGTGTAACTAAGTTAGTTGACTGAGTCATTAGGTTTTCCTGGTATGTTAGGCTCAATAGCTGTTTTATTTTACCTAGTAATTAAGTTTATCTGAATAGAATCTTGCTAAGTTTATTATTGTTTGCCTGGTGACTAAGGGATGAAGAACTCTTCGACTGCAAACCCACTATTTTTATAGGATCGTTCTTGTACCTATGTCTATCTGTCACGAGACGGGTGACCCTTTTAGATGCTAAGTGCAGCACAATTACCTAGGAGCCCTATTAGGAGGACCTTTAAGTATACCTACTACTATATAAATCTTGGAGAAAATTACACCATTTTTTTTAACCATGCATTCGGCAATGGAGCAGAAAGACCACCTTACGGTAAGCAATCGTCACTATCCGGCGTTGTTGGCCTCTCAGGGATTGGGGTTTTTTTATGGTATAAGTCGTCAAACGAGCAGACGGATTACCTGATGGTAAGCAATCGGCGCCGCCCATGGACACCCGCAACACCGAAGGAGTTACGACTGCGTTGCCGGCCTTTTAGGGATAGGGGTTGCGGATAAAAGGATCGGGAAGGGATAGGGGAAGGGGTGGGATTGGGCCTCCGGTAACCTCATTCACACGGCGAAACACAACGTTGTGATTGTTTCACGCCGGTATTCTGTGAGGTCGTGGTATCACTCCGGTCGAGTTTCCATTCCGGTAACTTTTCTCACACGACGAAACAAAATGCTATCGTTGTTTAACCTCGTTTTTCTATAAGGTTTTTAGTGGGGAGAAAAACAATGTTAAATGTCTTCATTCAACTCGGATATGGAGAGGAGAGGGAGTGTCAGACATTTACTGAGTAAAACTCCCCCGTTCCTTCTCCTGCTCTAGATTAAAGCCGCGGTATCTTATTGCGATTCACCCGCAACCCCTGCTGTAGCTTTAATCCGTTCGTGCCGAACCATGGCTCTCCTACGCGTAAAATAGCAAATTTTACCAAAGCATGTAATTAATGATTTGGTTTTTAAAAGTCACGTTTGTAATCACTCGACCAAATAATAACAAAATAACTTAAAAAAAAACTTCAAAACAAAGCTAGTAGATACATGAATGGTTCAAAGACGTCCTTATCGTTGCGTGTGATATCTTAAAATTGAATCGTCTTATCTGGACAACCTTTGGATGAACGGATGTTGATAGTTAACTATAGGGGGCTCATATATTTATAAGTTTATTGTTTAAAACACAAAACGTAATGTATTACATAAGCCAAGATACTGTCAAAATTTCAAAACCTTTTTTAAAAAATTTTAATGAAACATTTTGAGGTTTCCGGCGACTAGCACAACAAAAACTCGGACCGCGTTCAAAATTAAATAATTTTCTTCCTGGGGCCGCGGTCCCAGTTTTTCTCCAGTGACATATTAGGTGCGTTTACAAACATACAAATTTACATACACTAGCCACATTAAATGCAAATCGAATCGAAGTTTTTCGATTAATTTTGCAAGTCCCATCCGTAAAAGGTTCATCCCATCTGAAGGTAAGCTATCGAGGTCAGTTGTAGACACCCGCAGAAATTACAGTGCGTTGCCGGCTGAGTGAGAGTTATTAGGGATTTAAAAGATTCCCTCACTCACTGCGACAAGTGAATAACCGCTATGTTTAAGTGTCGGAGAGCCATGCTTCGGCACGAATGGGTCGGCTCGACCGGAGTGATACCACGGCCTCACAGCGTTGTGTTTCGCCGTGTGAGTGAGGTTACCGGAGGCCCAATCCTTCCCCTCCCCGGACCCTTCCCCAATCCCTAAATCTTCAAATCCCTAAAAGGTCGGCAATGCACTCATAAATCCTCCGTTGCGGGTGTCCATGGGCGGCGCTGATTGCTTTCCATCAGGTAATCCATCTGCTCGTTTGCCGACTTATTACATAAGTAGTTCATAAACCTCACAATAATTCTCATAAAAAAACCAATTTCACGACAAAAATAAAAGTCAAAAAGTCACGACTCGTCTCCGAATGAGACTCAAAATTATGATCAGCTGTTTATAATTCTATGTCAGTTTCGAGCAAGGATAATGATTGTGTTCTTTGCTGTATTAATGCAAAAACGTGATTCTTAATGCGTGCCACTTTATTACACATACATACAACATGTGTGTTACAGTGTGTGTAAGGTGTGAGCTGTTGCTGTTGACCACGGATGACCACGAAGATAAGGTGAATCATCAAAATCAACATTTACATACATATGTGTGTGTTGGAGTATTTTGAGACTACTGGTCATGATCATCAGCCGGTTTTGCTTTCCATCACTTTAACCTCCTTTAAGAATACTGTTACAATCCTAGCTGGTAGAGTAATATAGGATAAAGCTACGCTGGAATGTCGTTTCCAGAGAAAGAAGTTCTTTCTTTACGTTTTTTTTCTTCAAAAGAGGAGTTGTCTGTCATTTGGGGATAAGGGTTTTGGAGATTTGGGGATTAGGGTAGAGAATAATTGGGCCTCCAGTAACCAGATTCACAAGGCGAAACTCAACGCTATGGTTGTTTCACACCGATTTATTGTGAAGCCGTGAGCAGACATGTTACGAAATATTGTTGAAAAACTAACTAGTCAATATTTTCTGATCATCACCAATCTCTAAATCTCTACTTTTTACTTTCGTAAATGTCTTTTTTGATTCATGTCATTGTTTTTGAAAAAGAAACTGTACAACCGGCTTGTAGAAGGCTGAAATCCAAACTAATATTATAAATGCGAAAGTAACTCTGTCTGTCTGTCTTTTCTTAACTACTGAAGCGATATCTGTGAAATTTGGTACAAACATAGTTTGGAACTCGAGAAAGGGCATAGTATAGTTTTTAAATCAAAAATTTGCAGGAATTCATTCCACGCGTTCAGAGTCGCGGGCAAAAGCTAGTTACCCATAAAATTCCTTTTCAAGTCTTTTGAAATGAAACAGATAAAATGTGATATTTTTAGACCTGTAAAGCTTCGGTAAAAAACCTAGTTTTAAACGTTTGATATTTAAACAAAAGTTGCACCATATTTTATTTTTCCGACCTTGTTGCTTATTGCGTTAAGCAATATTTGGGTATCTGAGGTCTGGCGGCTGGAAATCCCGGGATTTTTTTGCAATTTATGTTTGTTTTAAACTTTATTGCGGAGCCAATGGACACTTGCAACACCAAGTTAGTTACGAGTGCATTGCCGCCCATTTGGGAATTAGAGTTTGGCTGATTTTGAGATTGAGAATCCTTTCTAAATACCTAAATCTTAAAGTAAAAAGTTCCTGATGTGTTACGCCGTGTCAGTGAGATCCTTCACGCTCACACTGCGATACACGACGCAAAATTTTTAGATTCCTGTATTTTCTTATTTTATTTTAAAGAACGTTGTCCCAGACTGGGATTTTCCTGTGTCGTGAGTGTGGTTACAAACATACAATTTCACATACACATGACACCCAGACCCGGAACAACAATTTGTGGATCACACAAAGAGTTGTTCCATGCGGGAATCGAACCCGCGACACGTTGCACGACAGCCAGTTGTCCAGCCACTGCGCCAACAGTGCAGAATAAAGAAACTTTGTAAAGAATGAAAAAAGTATACACTTTGAATAGGTACATAACACTATATACTTAAAAATGGTGATTGGCGCAACAACCCGAACCTTAATATCTACACAACAACAATCACTGTTGAACTGTAGAAACAATAAAAACTAAAAATAAGACATTTTGTTTTGTTTCCAGAGAAATGCGAACGAACGAAAACATACGGATAGACAGGGAGAAAGGCGTGATGACTATGAACCCCAGGCTGAACCTGAAGTTCCTGGTGGATAAGTCTGTCGCTGACACTCATAATGTCACCGTGAAGATACCAAACATCGCTCTCATTGTAAGTATTAAAGACATTTATTATAGTACGGTAGTTTCCAACTAGTCAAATTCAATACTTTTATCCAGATGTCAAAAACGATACTTTTCTATGAAGTTTTTATGAAAAATTGAGTGGTGACGTCATAGCATTTTTTAATCAAATATGTTACGTATTTCTTAAAAAATTGCTAAAAAGTAAAAATTCAGTAATCAATCTTACCCCTTCGCCAAAACTCCAATCTTCTAATCACTGAGTGTCAGACTCTTACTGACTAAAAAAAAACATCCTGTCCCGTCACCTGCTCTAAGCCGGAGCCGCGACATAGCGCATTTTTTTTTATCTTATTTCAGATTATAATCCAGCTCTGTGCCAAATTTTATTGCGATCCGTTCAGTAGATTTTGTGTAAGAGTGTACCTAACAAACTATTCATCCTTATTAACAAAGTTTCGAATTTTTATAATATTGGTGGGATTATTAGGCAAACGCATGGGATCTCCCTCGGGGATTAAATGATTAATTAATCACACCGCTGACACATTGAACTACAATAGTAAGTCGCAGATTCTCATTAAAATACAATTAGTTTATTATCTTTAATTATTAATAATCATTTAATTATTACTTCCGTGTTCTATTATTCTAGTTTCTTATCATTTATTATTATCATAGTTTTGTCTATTTAACACGTTCAACGCGGAACGAGACCTTTTAGTTCTCGTTTGTGACGTTTTAGTATCGCGCAAGTGAAATCCTATGTCTATCCCATTTCGGCAAATGATATTTCTGTATGTTTCTTTACTGATAGAGTGAGACAAATATTTTTGTTCATATTAGGTACATTGGATGTAGTATTTTTATGAATGAAAACGTACGAGATCTAATAGGTCTCGTTGCGACCAAATAGTAAAATTTTGCATCTAGCGCGGAACGAGAACTAAAGGATCTCGTAGCGATCTCGTGCGAATCCTCACAAGAAAATAATTAGTGTCGTGTCAACTGGTTTCGAAAATTGATGATGGAATTAATTTTTGGCACAGCTATAGTAAATGCATGGGTGGTATATAATAATAAGAAAAAAAATAAGTTACCAAAAAAGAATTTTATTGAAAGCATCATAACGAAATTCACAGGAGTTCCTTTTTTTCTGGAAAAAGATAATCCGGAAGTGACCACTGAACACAAATATATAGTGAATACCAAGAAGAGACGTTTTGTGAGTTGCTATGAAAAGGCACGAAAAACAATGTCTAGCAAGGAAGCGGATAAAAAGACAAAACAGGTAAAAGGTTTCTGTGTGAAGTGTGAAAAAACTATGTGTTTTAATGAAAAACATTGACATTTTTTGCACTGTTTATAAGTTTCTAATGCCTTACACTATAGTATTATAATAAATGATTAATTTTATCGATAATGTTGTTGGTCTTATTGTTTCTCACCACTATTTTTTTATCGATACTATGCAAAACGAGATCTAAAAGTACTCGCATTTTCTTGCTATCTAGTGCAGAACGAGATCCAAAAGTTCTCGTTTTACTATTTTGTAAATTTTCCATTATTGTTTTCGACATAACTTGAGGCGGTGAAAACCTACTGAAAGGTCTGATCATCTCCTACCTGCACATACAAAAAAAATATAAAATTAGTTAAATTTCATAACACTATTTGGGTTTGAAGTGACTGAGTCGTACGAGATCTGCTGGATCTCGTTGCGTTATTCCTGATGGATCACGACGAGAACTTATAGATCTCGTTGCGTCATATTAACTAGATGCATAAATGGGCTTCCGCGATGAACGTGTTAAAAATAACTTAAACTAGTCATACAATAACAAATTATTAACAAAATAATGTTAAATTTAAAATATCATTATTTATTTTTCTTGAGTAATCCAATTTATCATGAACTCGCCTTGTTTGAACTTCCCACATATTTAACGGCCAGCTTATACAAGGTACTATACGATTTTGGTACAGAACCATGAAAAAAAAATACTAGTAAGGCTTTTACGGACTAATTTACATTCGCGGGGAAGGACAGATACAGTTATCTTTTATGTATAAAAAAATGTAATAACAATTATATAAAAATCACAGTTATATACTAAAATTAAATAGCTACACAATAATAATGCTACTACCCTTTGGACTTAAATATGGACTTTAATCATTCATTTCACATACCATTTATATGGTTACTTCTATACATATACCTACATAAAGCAGTTTAATTCTTCCTTTTTTGTGAATAAAGATCTAGTGTTTTGTACGTCATAATACGACAAACGAGTAGATGGATTACCTGATGGTAAGCAATCAGGGCCGCCCATGGACTGACGCAACAACGAAGAAGTTTTACGAGTGTATTGTAGACAAGGATATTTAAGGATTGGGAAGGAATTGGAGGAAGGGAAGGATTGGGCCTCCAGTAACCTCACCTCGGCGAAACGTAACGCTGTGGTTGTAATACCGGTTCTTTGGTAGGTTGTGGTATCAGTCCGGTTAAGCCAATCGAGTCGTGCCGAAGTATAGCTCTCCCATACTTACTATCATCACACACACATTTACTATTTAGTTTTAATGAAAACTAAATAGTGACTAACTAAATATTTATTTATATTGAACTAGCTTTTGCCCGCGACTTGTTTGCGTGGAATAGTGACTTCCTGCAGAAAACTATCCAAACTATGTGTGTACCAAATTTCACACAAATAGGTTTAGTAGTTTAGGCGTGAAGAAAAGACAGACAGACAGACAGAGTTACTTTCGCATTTATAATAATATATTAGGTTGGATTTTTCATTTTTATCGATTAATAATAACTGTCACGTTTTAAGACGGTTCAACAAAACCTGATTTGAACCCCTGACCTTTCCGTGCGAGTCAATGTCTCGGCTATTGGGTCATTAATGGAAAACGTTGAATGACATAACGTTACGTATGTACTTATACATAATATATGTATGTTTGTCTGTAGGTACGAAACGTGCGAAACTTGTTAATTATTATAATTAACGATATCTTAATTTCTAATTGATTTTCAAGGCTACTTGTATTATTTTAAACATAGCCGTTTGATACATAGTCGTATTCCGTTTTTTTTTGAATTTTTATTTACATTTGTAAACCGTCGGAGTAGATGTTATCTTACATATTTCAATAAATGACATTTATAAAAATCTTTAAATAAATAAATTATAATTCATCTAATTGATTTCGTCTTATTTTGACCACAATGGGACACGAAAAAAATCTTATTATTTTTATTTTTTATTCATTAGTTTTATCTTATTATTAAGTCTATTATGAAATGTCGAGCAATAAATTTTGTAAAATTTTAACAAGTAAATGAATTATAATTAGTACTAAACTCACGAAAAACTAATGAACTCCGACATAAGAATTCGATTTACGTTAAAACAAGATTTAAAGAAGAATTTGTAATGAAATAAAAAAACTCGTAATTTACTTACTTCAAAATATAGGTAATATAACAAAAATGTATACAAACATTATAAAAAAATATGCAACAAATCCAATTTCTTTTTAATCTTCACCATGATCATCCTGCGCTTGGAGATCTGTCCAGTTGCCTCCTGTTCTGGACATGAGACATCCAAAAGTTTGTCACTGACCTTCAAAAAATCATCACCCCCGTTTTACAAGCTTATCAATCTACAAAAGAGAAAAAAATTGAGATTCCTTTTTTTTATTTCAGGCTATGAGCACATTGGCAGCAGACAAGCTGGGTTACTTCGCGAATGCTGGAGCCTACTACTCCATGTCAGCTCTTGGCTCCAAGCTCTTCAAAGACCTGTCTGTAGAAGAAATGTTCTGGGGCTACCATGACCCTCTGGTTACCATTGCTAATTCCTTATTACCTGGATGGATTGACTTCGCAAAGCTTGGTCTTCTGGATCGGGTTAGTATCTTTTATACTCTAGCGGTCCTGATGATTAATTAATGTAGGTGTTCCAAGTCGACCAGTCCAGTCCTAGTCCAGCCAAGTCCATTACGATTATCCGGATCAATAATCGTTATCGCTTTAGAAATGTAACGCATGTATGGGAATGAATTAATTTAACCACGTGACTTTTCGATGCCCTTCAGAAATCTCCATACATTTGATTCGATTCTAAAGCGATAACGATTATCGAATTTGGAAAGTGCAGATATTTTTAATCCTAGTAGATTTTTTTATACTAGTTACAAGAATGACAAGAGTCCCTGGATTGAATAGTGTTCCTAAAAGTTATTATTAAGTATTGATTTTTTTTTTGTATACCTATGCAATTAACTGTTTAACTTACATGGATCTTAGAATGTCATTATATTGTAATAATAAGAATAAAACGACCAGGCATTGAGTTTCATGCCTTGCTAAAACGAAAAACCATTTGCTGCTGCTAGAACATTATAATGTACCATGACTTTTGAACGTCGTAAATTATAAACTGTTAACTTATTATTACTGACAATAACGATTAGTAGCTTTTTGGCGGAAACTCACGATTTCTAGTATCATTAGTGGTAACAAAATATCTACGAGTAAAAACCTAAAGAAAAAACCTAACTACCGCATTACGATACTCTAAAGAAGCAAACTACATTAAACAAAAGTAGAATTAATTCTACCTATTGTGGCTACAGTAGATGTCAAAATCGTGTGCAACATCCCCAACGCCATCTCTGGGATTTGTATTGAACTTCTAATAGGAATTGTTCGACACAATGCCGTTACAATTTAAAGAACACGTTTAAATCGGAAAGATGTAACGTCATAATAATTGTGTACGCCTTTTTTCACAGTTCTATTCGCAAAAAAACGAGACTTCTGAAGTGGAACTGGCTAATGTGACCAGAAGGTACTCTTTGAACTCTTGGGATAATACTAGCGGTCTCCTGGAGCAAGGGTTCACAGACTTGGAAACCAGGTAAGCAGAAATCATTACAAAAATTATAAATAGGGAAGTTTTTTATGTAACAGGTCGGCAAACGGGCATTCGGTTTACCTGATGGTAAACCCATCAGCGCTGCCCATGGACACCTAGGGTTCCTAGTAACCTCACTCACCCGGCGAAACACAACGCTGTAGTTGTTTCACGCCGTTTTGTTGTCTGACTCTCCCACACTTAATAACTTATTCATTTATTTTCATCTTTTTCCTCGCATCAGTGCGATATTTAATTGTTGAAACTGAGGTTGAACGATCTCCAAACACAAAATACCTAACTAGAAATATGTACATAGTTGACAGGGCTTCGTTGTTTCTCTTTAACTATAATACTTACAACTATACAAGTGCATCATATTCATTGACGAACTACATTTTTGGTCTTGCCTTTGGTATTCAGACAGCGTTATCGTTGAGATTTATTTTTTGTTTTAACATAAAAACGGGTGTCCCAATGACCGAGACAACATTATCGGTCGAAATAATTTTTTGGTATTTGACCGCAGACCGAGTTATTTTATTTTTATATCGAACAAACAAGAGGTACTTAATAATTTAATAAATAAAATGACTTGTTTGTCTTATTCTATAAATAGATATTATTATGTAAAAACCCCTTACCTAAATAAAACATAATAAGTTTCTAAAAAAAACCTAAAAGTTACTCATTCATCATTCGAGTTTTTGTATCCTATATCTCCCCAATCAAATCATTAGGATATGGGTAGATCTTAAACTAACTGGAGCCTCCTCCTGAGACAAAAACCTTTGTTCAGATAAAACCAGTTTATCATGGTCTCGCATTTAATTATCTTCCCGCATATTTAATGGTCGGTCTATACTGGTTTTTGCAGAACTCGATACATTGTGACCTACTTAATCAAATCAATAAAACTAATCACATTTTTAACATTCCAGCACACCATGCAACAGAATCAAAGGGTCATTTGAAGGTCTGATGCTGCCAGCCCACTATCCTAAGGGGAAAAATATCACCATATTCAGGAAGCAAGCCTGCAGGAACTACCCGTTCTCCTTCATCACTGAAAGCAAGAGTGAGAGTACTGGCCTGAACTCTTATTTGTAAGTAGATTTAATGATTATCCATTGTTTTTGAGTCAGTTCTATCAAAAAATGGCAATTTTCATCCTTTTATGGCATAAATCGGCAATCGAGTAGATGGATCGCCTGATGGTAAGCAATTGGCGTTGTCCATAGATACTAGACACATAAGAGTTAAAACTTCCTTTTTTTGGAATTTTTTTTGTGACTTGTGAGGATTTGGAGATTTGGGAACATAAGGATGGGGGGAGAATTAGGTCTCGGCCTAAAGTAGGAGAAAGAACGCGTTGGTTTTTGTCAGTAACAATCTGTCACTCAGTCTGACCTTACCCTTGCGAGGGTAGCCACGCCAGTATCTTAGCATAATTTTTATCTTAACCAACAGTTAGTACTAATTTCCATATTCTTATTCCAGATACACAATGGACCCCACAGCTTTTAGCAGCACCTCTCCCTTTGCCTGTAACTGTAGCGACGGCTGTCCTCCTGAAGGATTTGTGGACGTCAGCAATTGTTACTATGGTAATTATCATCAGTTTAGAATACTCGAGTGGTAAATAAAATATTGGGTCTTCTAATAGAGTTATTTTGATCTTTTCATGCTTGAATGCTATGATTTTGGTTCCTTTTTGTGCTTGAGCTAAAAGATTAAGGAACGCCAAACCTGAAATTTGATAGGTATTGCTTTTTGACATGTATCTTAAATACACTACCTATCAATCACTTCTGATCTGACTATTTGCAATTTTTCCAGGTTTCCCAATATCTCTATCGAAACCTCATATGATGGACACGGATCCTGTGCAGCAGTCGTACTTTTCAGGGATGAAACCAGACCCTAAGAAACATGGATCACATTTTGAATTGGAGCCTGTAAGTTGAAAGTTTATATACTTTTATAAATATTTGATTTTGCCTTCTTTTTGAATATACACTTTGAAACGAGCACCTAGTTACACTGAGGAACCGACTGACTGACTGACAGACAGTATTCTATTTTGACGTTTCAAAAGGTACCTGTTGTTGGAATAAATTATTTTGACTTTTACTTTGACTTTTTTTAAAGTCGGTGCCATGTATATAGGTATAGCAAAATGTAAACTTGTTGAACGCTCATTAGTTCAAGGACTTGATCTTATGTAGATTGTTTAGTACCTGATAACTATTCAGGTCATAATTATTACAATGTAATGATTGTTAATTGCATCTTTATGTTCTAGACTTTGTTTTTAATTCAGTAAAATCTGACCTATATCGCGCACCTTTTGTGTATTATATTTCTATCTAAGGCTTCATTTTCTAGGTATTACAAACGTCAACTGTTTAGCTATTTCTTTTATTTCTCTTATAGGTACAAACAGTAATAGACAAGGTTCACAAGCTTCAAAAATAATTACTTACTGAGTTTTTGGTGGCTTAACAAAATGTTCGTTGATGACGATTTTATGCCATTTCTATTACAGACTATCGGAGCACCCCTAAGCTTCTCCATCAAGATCCAGATCAACCTGGCTGTGAGAATGAACGAGGGCAACCCAATCACAGCTCCGTTTAAAGACAAGGTGCTTCCCATCATGTGGTTCGCTCTGGTGAGTTGAAAACATTACTTACCTACTTCTATTGGTACGAACAGACCTGGGATTGCCTTAATAGTGAGAGGTCACCGAAGCCTTACCAAGGCTCTGTCTGTATTGTCATCTGCATTACTAGATGAATTAAGTATGTTGTACCATGTGAGCCACTGTTTATAACGCCATTGTTTTCTGAAAGGAAGAGTCGAGAAAAAGATCATACTTATTAGACGAAACAAAACCACTAAGCCGTGAAGGATTTGTTTTACAAGATCATCCCAGGTCATCCACCAGATCGGCTTCTTGTTATAAATTGTATTTTCAAAACCTTATCTGTTTGAAGAATCTGAGTCATTCAAAAATTTCTCCCGCACTAAGATATTGTGTCAGACTCTTACTGAACAATAATCATTCCGTTCTTTCTCGTGCTCTGAGTCGAGACCGTTATAGGATACATTATTGCCCTTGTAACCGCACCTCGCCTGTCTAAAACCTTACTAAATAACTTCTCTTTCTTCCAGTACTGCAACCAACCACCATCAGAAGTAACAAGCCTACTTCGTCTGCGTCTCCTCTACGCGCCACCCTTAATCGTCACGTTAGAAGTCATCCTCATCATCGTAGGTCTAGTTCTAGCAGCCCAAGGACTTCACAGGATCTGGAAGCCCAAGTACAAAATAATTCCACCAAAAGAAATGCCCGTTCCTATAGTCAGGAGGAAGAGTTCTGAGAGGAGAAGAAGTAGTGTTATTCTGAACATGGCAGAAAATGTCGGTTTTAGTTTTAAGGATGATGAGGACTTGGCTAAGGAAGCTGTGTCCCTCCTAGCTATCAATGAAGAAGATAGTGAATTCGTGGATTTACTGGTCAGTTCCGATAATGAGTGAGATTGTTAAAATTTGCTCAATTTTTCGTTTAAGGTGGAAATGATTTTGTGGTCGTTTACAAGCGCTTCTTGCCTTTATAGTAAAGGTAGGTGATAATTATAAATGTGAGTTCCGAAATAGTTTAGGTTGTAAGTGTTATTTAAGTTAGGTGCGTAAATAACTTATGTTGGAGTTTAAGTAGTCGGTTCACTGCTGGAACCATTTTTTCTGTCTGTCCTGTCACATTCCAAAATGACTTACCTTTTCATGGGAGATCAGGTTGTGAAGTCTTGAGAAGATAAATCTAGTACATACAAGTTTGAAAGATATTTCTATCAACTTGGTCAGGTAATACCAACGTGATTGGTTGACCTATGTGCTATGTTTAATAGACCTGGCAGAGTAGCTTTATTCATACCTACTTATTTTATTAAGAAGTAGAAAAAAAGCTTTGGCTTGCCTGAAGGAAAGCAATTCCGTAAAGACTTTTGCAATACTAGTAGTGTTTCCTACCGTTTTTAATTTAACTCTAGATTCCTGAATCACAGATTTAAACGAAACATAGCGACAGTCAGAATGGAATCGGATACTAAATTTTATGCTGCAAATAAACACATACAGAGTAACAATCAGTTGCTAAGTTACGTGATTAGCTAATTAGTGATAACGAAATTGCTCAATATTAATTATAAGTAGGAGTAAAAAGGTTTGAGGTTATCTTATTCGATACGACTGTTAGCTGTATCTTAATCTACGTGTCTGTCTGTCTGTCTGTCTGTCTGAGGAGTAGACGTTTCTTACGTCTATTTGTTTTCTTTGTATAGACTAGGTAGCTTATCTCAGTTAATTGACATTCCTGATATAAAATATTAGATCATGTTATAAGTACACACAGCTTCGCATCAAGTTTACGTTAAACCAATATAAACTGACTGTTGTATGTCGTAAAATATCATAATAAGCGAGGGCCTGATATACTGGTTTTCCAATAACTTTATGTTGACGTGTGTACCAATCAACAATATGATGAGAGATATACATTTCTTTTTTTCTCACTAGATGGCGTTTTTACAATAACTGTATCTCATGTCAAAAATTAAATGGTTTTACAATAGTTAATTTCCTATCGGATAAAAATACACTAAACTACAACTTCTCTATCTAGAGAGAAAAATGGAAACGTTATTATTTAAAGTTAAAACAAATGCCGGCTATTGACCTTTCCAGTTTGAAATTGTAAAAAGGTTTGTGAATTACCTTTTCCAAGTTATTTAATATATGTTAATAATTATGTGGTTTTCAACTATCAGAAAAAACCTAAATAAATAAAAACAATAAAATCTGACATAAATACATATAAAAGAACGTGATATGGTAATAAAACTCGATAAATGAAATACATTAAGTGATTGAATTTGGCACTAAAGACAGACTTATAGATTTTTTTTTAACATATTTGAGTTTTTTTTGCTAACGCGTTTAATACGTTATCGCGTTTAGCTCTCTGATTGGTTGAATAACTTTGAGCTGGCCAATCAGAGTGGCGAACGTCATAAACATGTCGTTGGCGTTATCGTAAAGCGAATTCGTTTAAAAATTTGGCATTCTGTTTCTTTATTTAATAGTTGTGTGTACATTAGTGCTGTTGAATTTATTGTAAAAGAATAATAATTGTAAACAGTATATTAGAATCAGAGCTCAATATAAAAACCCAGTATTTATTTTTCAAAAAATATTTCTTTTACTGGTCCTTGCTATTGTTATACTTTCAACCAGTTTGAGAAAAAGCAACTACATTAATAGATTTTAACAATTGTGATATTAATTTTAGTTATAACTTATAAGTCAATTGTAAATATAATTATAAGTATTTAATTTAATAGACTGATGGTGAAATGTTTTTTTACGAATAAATAAAATATTTTTCAATTTATAAATAGACGTTTTATTTATTTATTAACAATAAATTATATTTGTATTTACAATAATATAAATTACATTTAACAAAATAAATCAAAATTAAATATTGTACATGTAATTGGTATTGCAGTTATTGGTTGATATTACCTAAGTAATATCTATACTGCGCTGCATACGTACTAGTAGTATACTAGTAATACAATAAACTTATAATTAAAAGTAATGAAATTTTTTTTTTATAGTAAAGTTATTTGTTTTGACTCTTTTTTGTCTATACCGTTTTACTATACTTTGAAGTGAGTTCTAAAACAATAGCACTTCTGCTAAATACACTGGTACCCCTTAGTTACAGGGTTTTCACAGCAAAGAAGAGAAGTAGATGTCCTGATATACATTAATAAAATGTTGTAATCGCTTCAATAGCTAATCAACGAGACCCAAGTTAAAGGCAAGGCCAAGGCCCAGGGCCAGGACACACCATCACAAAGAGCCAATAGACCACCACAGATAGGACCCAATAGAGCTGATGTTCAGCCGGGATTGAGGGTCAAGTGCAATAGGTACCGCGGCCTCGCCCTGGAGCAGGAAACCACCACGAAAAAACCTGGACTTCTCCATGTGAGAAAAGCCCTGCAGTCGTGGGCACTTATAGGCCGATAATATGATATGTAGGTATCTATCTGATCCCAAAAACCGTTTTGAATAAGCCTAAACAGTATATTACAGAATTTTTGTTAAGAATAATATTTACACTAATAAAAATCACAGTTATTTTGAGTGGTAATTATGGATGGTAAGGTTAACTTCATAAATAACTTAATTCTTAACTTTCATTAATTAAAATTAAGACTTACATTACTTACAAAAAAGACCTAGATTACATCATAAAAAAACCTGAGTATTTATTTTTAAATTGGGTCACTAAAATAAATACTGTACTTTAAAATTTAAGTAATTTACATTAACAGAATATAAAATTAATTAAATTCATAACAGAGACTAGACTAGGATATATTAACAAATTGGTTATCGATAAAATAAATTATAATAAATACAATAAATTAACATTTTCATCGAAATATTATAATATACATACATTCCACCTCTCATTCTCCCTAAGGCCTTTTTTTTAATGAAACAAAACACCATATACTTTCCAGTAGGTACTATAATACCTCAGATATGTGTGTCTTATTTTATAGCCCTATTTTATCGTCCGTTTTCCTACCTTGTAAACTACATATATACACAATTTTTCAAAACAATAACACTAACAGAATTAATTATTATGTTTTCGGCTTACTCACGACTAGTTTCAAGCCATGCTAGAGGCCCATTCATCATACGATCATATGTCGCGTGTCGCGGAATGCTGCTCTACAAACTAGTCGAGTATCTCGTCAAATTATTACGTGAGTAAGCCGAAAACATAATAATTAATTTAGAATATCTCACTAAAGTTATAATAAAAACTAACAGAATTCTCATAATAGTTGTGTCAACAGTAAAAATCTTTATATTCCATAGTTAATTCAGGATTTAGGACAGCTTATAAAGTACATTTTTTTTTTGTAAATATAACAGATCAAGTAGTTCTTTAACAGTCACTCTCAACTTCTGGTAACACGCACATTAACTAGCGTAAACATGAGCATAGATCCAGGAGACATAATGAGCAACATTGGTGTAGACGTCAGGCACGCCGCGTCGAGCACAGCCAGACCCAAACGATGTCAGGCCACGTAGCTCCCATCGGCCGCCAGATCGGCACTGGAGAGGACCACCACTATCACCCTGGAAGTAAACGAGAGATATGATGATTTATAAAGGACATGGTTGCGGTAAAATCTGATGTCAAGCGAATGTTGATTAAGGTGCCACAGCCTCAGCCTGGAGCAGAAGGAAGAACAATGGTGTTTTAAGTAAGTAAGGGTCTGACACTTCCCTTTCGCTTTGACCTGGGCGAAAGAAGCCATTTGTATTTTCCCTTTTCAGAAAAAAAATGTACGTTGGTAAAAATGATTAACCCTATAACTAGTTATATTCAGATTTTAATATATTCAAGGATTAGGGAATTAGGAGAATCAAGAGTTTCTTTCACGTCTTGGTAAAACTATCAAGACTTTCTTTGACGGCTTGAAAATATTAAGACGTATTTTTCATTCGTTAATCCCCAATAATAGGAAGGGAGATCTACCTTTGCCAAAAACAAACATTTATATACTTTGTTTGACTAATCAAGATGACACAAATAAGCACTACCTTTTTTATTACAAATCAAACGGTATCATCATGATCATAGCTCAACTCCTGACAAAATGTATCCAAGAAACATTGACGGAAACAATAATAATTGACAATTGATGACCTGATAATATCATCACGACCTTCCAATCACGTACAGTACATATACTTTGATACATTATGATGAGTGAAAGCCAAACTGATTGTACTTTCCAATGTGATGTCATGGAAATTAATAAGAGCAGTATTAAATGGTAACTTGTCAACATCTACGTTATCTTTGATAGTTATCTCATTACTGACAGTTTGGTATGCCATATGTTGGTCCATGGCGGTTGTTGATGAAATCAATATACATATCTAAAATTATCATAGTCGGTAGATGAAAAAAATTTGATTGTTTGTTTCAATTCATAAGTAAAACTCTGAAAGGGCAGGGAATGCTAGTTACTTTTATATAACATTTTAGTGGAGAAGAGCTAAGCTTCAGCACGAATGGGTTGGCACGACCGGAGTGATGCCATCGCCTCAGAGAAAACCAGCGTCAAACAACCACATCGTTATAACCTTCCCCTTCTCTCCCCAAACCCAAAATTTCTGAGATCCTAATCCCCAATGTACTCGTATCTCCTCTGGCGTTAAGGGTTTCCATGGGCGGCGTCGATTGTTTACTATCAGGCAATCCGTCTGCCCGTTTACCGACGTATCATGCAAATTATTTTACACTGCGTTTAGCTATTCAGGAAATCATTTAATTTTCAAGAATAATTTATTTAGGTACCCAACTACAAGAGCAGTTAATAAAAGGGAGATAAAATCAAAAATATTTCAGAAAGATCACTACCTACGGCTGTAACTGGATCAATTAAAATTTCTTGTGAAATAACTAACAAGAAATTCCTTGCGGAGGTCACATCAACGGGTTTCTTTATTTTAAGCATTTACTCTCTCTTGGACGGACTGATTTCCAGGCTGGAGAACATTAATTACTAATTAACGTCTGCAGTATAATTGTCATAAACGTTCATATTTTTTACAACCTTTTTTCGATCAGTATGAGACACTAAAGCAAAAGTAAGTTGCTTACTTTTACTTTCTTTCCCAAGCTTTTTATATTTATGACTTTTGTTAACTCCTTCCTGTGGTTATTATAAAGTGAGATATGAAATTTGTGAATGTACTGTATTCAACCTTTCTTAAAGGAAACGATAACGATAATAAAATTATAAAAAACAGTCTATACTTACCACACAAGCTCCTGTGCTGCCATCTGTGCTCCCAGCGCACAAATGACCATCATTTAATGGAAGAGTCAGAGCGTACCTCTCCCTACAGACATTTAGAGGTAGAACCGGCACCTCTGCTTCCAACAGAACATCTGTCAACGTTCCATTAGTCTGTTCTCTACCCCATCCAGTAGTATAACATTCATCTTTGAAGTCTAGTCTGTTGTTGTCATCAATAAACGGATCGATTTCTTCACCAAACATAAGTTTTTTATCACTCCTATTTATATTTACTTTATAATCATCTTTTAGAAGACTATTCCTTATAAGTTTGACTACACTATCCAGTGTAGCACTGTCATAGATTAAATCACTATTACCTCTCTCGTTGTCAGACTTTCTCAATTCATCTCCGTTTTTCCTGTCTGTCTGTCTATTTGAATCATTCGATACTCTAACATTATACCTCATGTTTTTATGTTTCTTATTAACTAATCCTGAGAAGATATTCTTAGTCAGATTGTTCAGTTTCTCAAGATATTTGACAGCAGTATCTGGCTTTGGTTTTGGTGGTTTAGGCTTTCTTCGTGGTGGTTCTGTTGAGGATTCTGGACGGAGGTAGAAAGATGAGCTTTTGTCTGTTTCAAAAGTGCCTATTGGTGGCTCGAATGGTGGTAAGCAGATGGTGCGAATCCGGCTTCCTGTGCTGACGTCTGCTGGTCTTGTTAATTTCATAAGTGCTGGAAATGTTAAATTGTATTGTTTAGTCTTTTATTTTGATAAAATGTAGGTACTTATAAAGCACATCATGGAAAAATACAATAATAGCACAGAAGAAATGGAAAGGAAGAAAGAGAAAGATCCAAAAAATTGTTTTTGACGTTAAGAAAATAAGATCCAGTACGGTTATTTAAATTCATTATCAGAGACAAATAGAAAATAATTTTCGTACCAATATCATGCTGGTAGTTATGAAACCGATGATGTAGAACAATCTTCTCAATAGGCACATAGGCTCCTTTCTGCTCAGCCCTGTCCCATTCTCCCAGCACTGCTGTCCAAAGCGCTGGCACTGGTAGATTGAATAGCTCACTGAAATGTTAGGTGAAGGAAGTTAGACATGAATTCTTTATGTAGATACAATTTTATGGCTAATATTTATGGAAAAAACATTAGTTAAACATATCAATTGATTTAGTTTGTTTTTGGTTTGTGAAAGCGTGGTGAGTTTCGCCGTGTCAGTGAGCTTAACGGAGGTTCAATATTTCCTCTCCCCCAATCCTATAAACTCCATCCCCATAATCTCGGCACTGCACTCGTAACTGTCCCATTTTTGAGGGTGTCCAGGGGCGGCGCTGATTGCTTACCATCAGGTAATCCTCCGGCACGTTTACCATCCTATCGCATAAAAAAAGAAATGGTGTGTTATTTTGAATGGAAAACACCCCTAAATATTCTCCAGCTGTATTTTTTTATTTTGTAAATGAGGTCATTATTATAAAAATCTTCACCAGGACCAAGATCAAAAAAATCTGCAGTCTCTTGTCAGATCCGAGACTTAACTTTAGTTCTAACGAGAACATCTATAAACTCAAGGAAAGAATCCAAATCCACCTTTTTTAATTATTTTGATATAAATCAATTAATTTAAAAAATACTACACAGTAACAATAGAAGTTATAATAGCCCTACTTGTGTATACAGTGAGCAGTAGTCAGCAGCCACATCGGATGCACCAGCACACCACCACACCAGTGTCCGATCAGACCGTAGTTTGGATGCAGCAGTTGAAGTGACACCTGGAAGTAGACCATGGTACATTATTTATTAGACTGATGATGATGATGATAATAAGAATTGAGCTAAATATTGCTAACTTAAATATGATACTCAGCTGAAGAAAAGGGATTTTGAGAACTATTCATAGTTCAAGGCCTGTGTCTTCATCAAATGTACTGAATACAAATGAATGCAAGTCCTATAAGTCTGAATGAAATATGGAAGGTTAATCATTTGCTATACTAAGATTTTTTGATAAACTAAATGATGTTAAACGTGATACCACGGCATCACAGAAAACCAGCGCAAACCACAGCGTTGTGTTTCGCCGTATGAGTGAGGTTACCGGAGGCCCAATAAATGCCTTACCAATCCTTAAATATCCCTTATCCCTAAAAGGTCGGCAACGCACTCGTTACTCGTTTAGTGTTGGTGGGGCTGATTGTTTACCATCGGGTAATCCGTATGCTCGATTGCCGACCTATAACATAAAACCGACCTGCCAAGGCCAGGCTCCTCTTTTGGATTCCCGTCCCTTGATGATGCGGAGTTGGCCTGGGGTCCTGTCACGGGGTTGACGCGTGTGCCGCCTCAATGGTACACCACATTCTGGAATAGAAGAAAATATACATCTTATTGTAATTTTGTTAGCTGATATCAAATGATGTGTACCTTGTAGTGGTAGCGTAGGCGATAACCCTACCCATCCCACGGATTTTGTAATAGCCGACTTAGGGCATTTGACAGAAACCGAGAATTGGATAGTTTCTTAGGTCAAAAATAAATTAATTCAACATTTCAATACAATAAAATATTGAAAAATAACTATACTTTCATTTATCGCTTGATCGATACACTAAGTTTTAGATATTCTGTAGCTAATAATTAAGAAGCAAGCTATTTGACTAAAAAATACTATGACGTCATAACTCAGTTTTTAATACAAATTTCATAGAAAAATATCGTTTTTGACATTTGGATAAAAGTATTGAATTTGAATAGTTGGAAACTATCGTATGAGCACTCGATAAGGACCCTGGACCTTAAAACCAGCTGTCCAATCTTTCTGTTGAGCATGGAAATTGTTCATATAGCCTGGGCTTATAGTCTTAAATAGTTGAGAAATTTATTATCACCATGTCACCATGGCATGTGGGCGAAGCCTAGCCGGGGCAAGTCGCTAGGAACTGATAAAACAAATTTAATGTTTTGTCCGACATCTCGTCTAGAATACTTCGTATTTACATTGCTAATACATCGATAGACAGATAATGACAGATTGAAATTATTCTGTGTAACAATTACGAGTATTACACCGGTATAAGGAATGAATTATATGACACGCTCTTTGTTCACGGTCTATCAGTAAGCTCGGTCTTGGTGATAGCGAGAAGCGACTGCTTAGACTTTAATGTGGTTTAAAAGATGCAATGTTTTTAATATTATTCTTGAAAAGGAATAAAATTCATGTCACGATTCCATAATCAGTGTATATATCTGCCTGCGTTCTGCAGCCGATTTAACGCACACGCTTCTCAAGATTAAGAGGCCCATTGTAGCTAAAAAAAAGATGTTATCTCAATCTTTAATTTTGTCCTGTATCGTGGTTTAGCAACCAAACAAATGAACAAACACAAACCAATCAGGCTAGAAACAACAATTTTTGGATTACGCAAAGTTTTGTTCCGTGGAAGTCGAATCCGTGATACGTGGCGCAGAGGCTAGTTGCCCAGCCACCATGCCAACCATATAGCCGAACATACCCAGTAAAGCTTTTCTCAAATAATCAACGTGAGTAAGTCGTTATTTTCCATAAATTTAATATGACTCAAGATAATTACTACAGCCGGGGTTGCGGGTTAAGCGCAATAAGGCACCACTACTTCGGCCCAGAGCAGGAGAAGGAACAGGGGGGTTTTTAGTCAGTTAGAGTCTGACACTCCCTCCCGCCCTGCCCTGGGCGAGAGAAATCATTTGATGCTCACAAAAAAAAAATAATTACTAAAAATACCATATTGTAATCCCAATTATAGTGACATTAAAAATACTCCTTAAACCGCTAACCGCTATCAGTAAACCCTACATTCTTTTGTTAATTAAATCAACTTTTTACTACAATATTATTTCGTCGTATAACATAGTACAATGAAATGCTTACATAATTATCCACATTTATAAAGCGGTAGTTAAGATATTATTTAGTAGTTTGTATTTTATTTAGACACAGTTCATACTATTACAGTTGTATTCTTGTATTAATGTTTACTTGAATCACTTGTTAGAACGAAGTTTCTTATCAGAAAAAATAAGGCTGAAAGTTGTTACAACACATTTTGCGATCTCTCTCTCTCTCTCTCTCTCTCTCTCTCTCTCTCTCTCTCTCTCTCTCTCTCTCTCTCTCCATCTATCTGTGCCTCTCTTTCTCATAGAAAGCAAGCGCGTTATTTACGTTCGCATTTTACAATGTTGTGTCTCACTCAACGATAATTTTTGTTGAGTGTATAGGTAAAGGTTCCTCCGTAATTTAAAATTGTACACTATATTTATTTCAAATAAGTTTGACAATAATAAAAAAATAACAATTCACTAATTCATCGAAAGGAGCTTCGTTGCATCCGTTCCTTGGTACCTTTCAATATTTTAAGTAGTTCTTTGGACTTCGTTTAAGAGATAAAAAAATACTTTATGGATACGGAACCAAAGATTAGGCAGGTCAGTAGAAAGACAGTAACCATCATTCGCCACTGAGCCGACCGACTTTCAAAAGATATGACTTTATTAAAACCATAATATAATTTAATGTGACAGAAAAGTCCAGTCACTTTTCCCCGCCCTGTTTGACCTGGGTGGGAGAGGGTGTGCGTCAGTTCTCCCATACCAGTAGAGTTCAAACAGTGCCGGGGTAAGGGTCCTGACACCCCTGGCGAAAATATTGTGGCGCCCACTTGAGGGAAGCAATATCAAGTGTTAGATTTTTGCTGATCCAAAGTAAAATTAAAAAATATCTCAACAAAATATGCATATGCACAGAGCGTAGAGCACAATTCTAAAGGGGTTTGCACCAGGAGAGGCAAGAGACTCCAACTTTAGACCTGGCCGCCCCCCAGAATTTTTCGACCTGGGCCATCGGCCCATCAAGCCTAACCTAACGCCGGCACTGAGTTCCGAATAAACAAATAGGTAGGTATGTAAGTATGTTCACGATTACCCAACTTGTAATAAAAAGGTGTAATGTTATACATACATTATTTATGAGTTAACAGCTACTCATTACAATTGTTATTTGCTTGTCGGCACGTAATCTGAGTGTGTTTAAGAAGGTGCGACACGTTTGTCGTTGCGTTGCGTAAGCCGGTAGAAAAATTAAATTTGTAACGTGAATTCTTTTTTTAATTTAGATTTATTGATGATATAATGAATGTTTAAAAGATTACCTGCTACATAGAAACTTACAAAATATACCTCTTTATAATCTTAAAATTAAAAATTAATTAAATTTGATTTGCATTCCGTGTGCACTTTGATCCAACTTGAAAGATAGGATAGCTTACATTTCAATCCATATATATAGATTGCCACCAATTTTTTGAGGTTGAAGAAATATGTTTGAATAATTGTAGAACAAATATAGTTTCCTTGAACCGTAACAGCGTTCAGTAATCATAACGCAGTGTCAGAATTAAAACTACAAAAGGCACCCATCATCATCATCATCATCCTACAAATGCTTACTGCTTTCAAAAGCCTCTTCTTAAACTAGAAGATCAGTATTCATTGAGTGCACGGTTGGTGCGGTAGCTGGGCAACGTGTTGCGACTTCGATTCCTACAAGGAAAACTCATTGTGTGATCCACAAATTGTTCTTTCGGGTATATGAAATTATATGTTTGTAAACGCGTAGTGTGGGAAACGTTAAGAAAAATCACCACGTTTCCTCATGACGGATTAGCGATTTCAAGCTTATAATTACTAATCTATACTAATATTATAAAGCTGTAGAGTTTGTTTGTTTGTTTGTTTGAACGCGCTAATCTTTGGAACTACTGATCCGATTTGAATGATTCTTTCAGTGTTATATAGTCCATTTATCGAGAAAGTCTATAGAATATATTTTGTATAATTCAAAATTAGGGATCCGTAATAAAATTGCTATTTTGTAACACAAGGAGTAAAATCGGAAACCTTGTATATAATATAAGTTCAGGTTTCCTCACGATGTTTTCCTTCACCTTAGGTACGAGTATATCAGTGGTCTCTAAATAATCTTTACAAATCATCTGCGTAGAGATGCAATTAACTTCAGAATGACCTCTTCTCCTTGCCTTGTTAGAAAAAGAATTTAAACATGTCTGCTTCAAGACTGGTCGATAATTGGAGCAATTTGTGGTCAATGAATCATACGAATGTATGCCAAACGTTTGATTTAATAAACTACAGAACCCTTATTAAATTAATTTGTAAACGCCAGCATATGAAGCTATCCGCATCTATCAACCTTCTTCAAGCTACTTTCAACCTTAGTGTTAAAGTTTTAAGACTAAAAATGTATGTTGACGTTTTAGTACACTTTGAAGAGCTGCTATCCAATTCGACATACTATATTATCCAATCATAATAATATCTAACGGTTCTAAATACGACCGCACACACACATTAAAAGGTTTTAACTTTTAAACTATTCGACCTAGATCAATATTATTTTGTTGATTAATTTAAATTGGATGGAGCCAAATATGTCTGATAGTCCGATGTTCGTAGATGCGAAGACTTTCGTTGTCTGACTTTAGATTCCTTAGAAGACTGACCGATAGACTGACACTTTTTATCTTAGAATCTTTATTTGAAGTGCCTATTAATAGTGGCCTAATTGATATGAACGATTCGATTTTGAATTTGACTTTTCAGCTATTTAATAGTAGAGAACTGTTTACATTATTACTATACGAAATTCAAAACAGCTGTCCAACATTAGGTACGTTTTTTTTCCCGCATCGTTAGTGCGTTTAAAAACATACAAATTCACATATTAAATATCGTGCCTAGACCCGGAAAACAAAAAAACTGTTGTTTCAAGTAAGAATCAATCCGGCAATGACAATATAACCACCAGTGGCTATATTCTCTTTGCAATTTGATAACACACCCTTAGTTCAAACCAATGCAATCAATTTACAAGGCTTAAAAGCCTAAAAAAATCGTTCAGAAATTTTTGTGTACAGATAAAGACACGTGCGAATTCAGAAAAAGCTACCACAAGCTATTATAAAGCAAAAGCCACTACCTACCATAGATTAAGAGACTGACGCTGTCAATCTGTCAACTGTCACTTGTCAGTGGGCAATTAACGACAGCGATATGATAAACATGTCAGTAATACCACCTTTATCCAGTGTCGGGTAAGTTGCGAGTTTGCAGGCTTTCTTATAGATAGGTACAAGTTAATTATGATTGATGAGTTAATGGTTTGCTAGTTAAAAGAGTCTTTGGTGATATAGCGGCAAATGAGCAGACGGAATACTTGATATAGTATGCAAGCGTCGTCGCTCATGGACAATGGAATAAAGATATTTGTTTTTTTTTGTTTATGAGGGGGAACGTCCGTCAATTGG